GCGGCGGTATGCAAATGAGGAACCGGCCGAGGCGAGCGCTCATTGGCTCAGCCTGCTCGCCTCCTCCTCCTCCCCGCCGTCCCATTGTCGAGTCTGCCCCGCTGGCCTTGCCGGGTCCTAAAGCCGGGAGGCGCTCCGGGCGCACAAAGGATGCGCTGAGAAGGAGGCACAAAGGGGGCGTCGGCCCTAGCGGTGGGGGCACAAGGCGCCCAGCCCCCTGGAGATGGGGGACACAAGGGGACACACCACCAGAGTGGAAGCACAAGGGGACACTCCCCGTCCCATTGTCGAGTCTGCCCCGCTGGCCTTGCCGGGTCCTAAAGCCGGGAGGCGCTCCGGGCGCACAAAGGATGCGCTGAGAAGGAGGCACAAAGGGGGCGTCGGCCCTAGCGGTGGGGGCACAAGGCGCCCAGCCCCCTGGAGATGGGGGACACAAGGGGACACACCACCAGAGTGGAAGCACAAGGGGACACTCCCCAAGTATGGGAGACAAAGAACATAAGAACGTAAGAACAGCCGTACTGGGTCAGACCAAATGTCCTTCTAGCCCAGTGTCCTGTCTGCCAACAGTGGCCAGCACCAGGTGCCCCGGAGAGGGTGGACCAAAGACAATGATCAAGTGATTTGTCTCCTGCCATCCCTCTCTAGCCTCTGACAGAGGCCAAGGACACCATTTTATCCCCTGGCTAATAGCCTTTTATGGACCTAACCTCCCTGAAATTATCTAGCTTCTCTTTAAACTCTGTTATAGTCCAAGCCTTCACCGCCTCCTCTGGCAAGGAGTTCCACAGGTTGACTACACGCTGTGTAAAGAAGAAAAGGTACCCGCAGGGGCGGAGTGCAAGGGGGTACCAACCTATGGGCATACAAGGAGACACGACCCTGGGGGTGGGGCATAAGGAGACTTGCTGCTTGGGTGGGGAGCATGAAAGGCACCTGTCCCCTGAGGCCAGACACACAGAGGACACAAATTTGGTCATAGGACCTATTGTGCCTGTTCGCGTTTGGGCAAGTTATTTACTCTCTTTGTATCTGACCTGCGTAGGGTGACCATCTATCCCGTCTTTACCAGGACAGTCCTGTATTTAAGGTCTGTTCTCAGCATCCTCACTTTTTTTAAAAAACGGGCCCATTGTCCCATATATCCCCTGCAACAGGGAGTGGGGAAGAGCCACCAGTCCTCATGGCTTCAGCTGCCGGCGGCTCCTTCCCTCAACCACACCGGTGCACAGGAAAAGGCCTGGGAAAGTTTGAATTTCATTTCCTGTTTGGCCAACATGGTGAGCAGACCTCAGAGCAGGCAGTACACTTCAGCAGCACACAAGGGCGCCATTTCGGGAGAGCAGGGGGGCCAGCAGCCATGCGTACCAGGATGCGGCTTGCTTTTCTTTCTGTTCCCCAGACTATCAGGGAGCGAGGGGAAAGTACTTGGATTCTGTGCATGCCTCTCACTCCTGGCTGGTGAAGAGAGGGGGCAGAGGAATAATTCATGGCATGCAAAGCACTTTCCCCTTGCTCCCTGATAGTCCAGGGAATGGGAAGAAAAGCAAGCCATGTCCTGGTATGCCTGGCTGCTGCCTCTTCCCCCTCTCTCCCAAAATGGCACATTTGGCAGGGTTGTGAATGAGCTCCAGCATGGAGCATGTAGGAGATCCTGGACCCGATTGTTGTGTGGGGAGAGAAATCTGTTCAGGCAGAACTACAAAGCCGCAAAGGAAAATGTTGATTATCTATGCCAAGATCGCACAGACCATGGGTGGAAAATGGATACACCAGGAATGTCCAGCAGTTCCATGTGAAAATAAAAGAGCCCAGGCAGGCATACAAGATGACAAAGGAAGCAAACAGAGATTCTGGGTCATTGTCATTGAGCAGCTGCATAGAATTCTAAGGGGGAGCCATCCAGTGTCCCAACCCAGTCCGTGAATTCCTCCCAAGAAGACTCTTCAGGCAGCCTCGGGCAACAGCACAGAGGACATTATGGATGAGGAAAAGGAGAAGGAAGAGAATGGTCAACAGGCGAGTGGAGCATCTGATCTCACTGACATCCAGGACTTTGTTATTACTTTGGAGCCAATCCCCTCCTCTCAGGATGCTGGACCCTGATGGTGAGGTTTGCTCATCTCCAAAAAAGCATGATTTGAGCCCCTGCCCTGCTGCCGTGCCTGGCCCCCTCATCCCCTTGAGTCCCTGCCCTGCTGCCATGTCCAGATCCCCTCCCACCTGCAGGGTCCTTTGGGAAGGGAAAGTTTCACTCTTCCAGCAATGGTGTGTGTGGGGTGTGTGTGCCAAACATATGGTCACAGTGTGAGCCACTGTCCCGTTGCCACACCCCTTCTTCCCACCAGCTCTTGTGGGAAGGGAAAGTTGCACTTTCCTGGCAAATGGGGGGGTTCAGAACACATGGTCACTGCATGAGCCCCTGCCCTGTTGCTACATCCAGAGCCCCCTCCAGTGTGCCTGCTCCTGCAGGAAGTCACTATCCTTAACAGAAGGATATTGATTGCCTTGCTACATGGATCACAGCAGCCCCCACTGTAGATTTGTCCACTCTGAATTGATTCCCAACTGACTGATAGCAGTCTGGCATTGCAAGCTTCCACAGGGCTATTGCCATTTGCTTCTCAACTATCAGAACAGCTCTCCTTCTGGTACTGCTGTGCTTTAGGCCAGGGGAAAGCAATTTGCAAACTTCCATGAAAGTGGCCTTAAACCTATGGAAGTTTTGCAGCCACTGGTCATCGGTCCATAGATGCATTACTATGCAGTCCCACCAGCCTATGCTTCCCTGATAAACATTTATCTAATCTGCTCTTAAATATCTCCACAGATGGAGATTCCACAACCTTCCTAGGCAACTTATTCCAGTGTTTAACCACCCTGGGTATGTCTACACTACCCCGCTAGTTCGAACTAGCGGGGGTAATGTAGTCATCCGCAATTGCAAATGAAGCCCGGGAAATTCAAATCCTGGGCTTCATTTGCAATTGCGGATGACTACATTACCCCCGCTAGTTCGAACTAGCGGGGGTAATGTAGTCATCCGCAATTGCAAATGAAGCCCGGGAAATTCAAATCCTGGGCTTCATTTGCAATTGCGGATGACTACATTACCCCCGCTAGTTCGAACTAGCGGGGGTAATGTAGTCATCCGCAATTGCAAATGAAGCCCGGGAAATTCAAATCCTGGGCTTCATTTGCAATTGCGGATGACTACATTACCCCCGCTAGTTCGAACTAGCGGGGGTAATGTAGTCATCCGCAATTGCAAATGAAGCCCGGGAAATTCAAATCCTGGGCTTCATTTGCAATTGCGGATGACTACATTACCCCCGCTAGTTCGAACTAGCGGGGTAGTGTAGACATACCCCTTGACAGTTAGGAACTTTTTCCTAATGTCCAACCTAAACCTCCCTTGCTGCAGTTTGAACCCATTGCTTCTTGTTCTATCCTCAGAGGCCAAGGAGAACAATTGTTCTCACTACTCTTTGTGACACCCTTTTAGATACCTGAAAACTGCTATTACGTGCTCTCTCAGTCTTCTCCTTTAAAAATTAAACAAGCTGAATTCCTTCAGCCTTTCTTCATAGCTCATGTTCTCTAGAACTTTAATCATTCTTGTTGCTCTTCTCTGGACCTTCTCCAGTTTCTTCACATCTTTCCTGAAATGCGGTGCCCAGAACTGGACACTATACTCCAACTGAGGCCTAATCAGCGCAGAGTAGAGCGGAAGAATGACTTCTCGTGTCTTGCTCACAACACATCTGTTAATGCATCCTAGAATCATGTTTGCTTTTTTTTTGCAACAGCATCACACTGTTGACTCATATTTAGCTTGTGGTCCACTATAACCCCTAGATCCCTTTTTGCAGTACTCCTTCCTAGACAGTTGCTTCCCATTCCCTGATTGTTCCTTCCTAAGTGGAGAACTTTGCATTTGTCCTTATTAAACTTCATCCTATTTACCTCAGACCATTTCTAATTTGTCCAGTTCATTTTGAATTATGACCTTATCCTCAAAAACAGTTGCAACCCCTCCTAGCTTGGTATCATCTGCAAACTTAATAAGCGTACTCTCTATGCCAATATCTAAATCGTTGATGAAGATATTGAACAGAACCAGTCCCGAAATAGACCCCTGCAGAACCCCACTTGTTATGCCTTTCCAGCAGGATTGTGAACCATTAATAACTACTCTCTGAGAATGGTTATCCAACCAGTTAAGCACCCACTTTATAGTAGCCCCATCTAAGTTGCATTTGCCTAGTTTATTGATAAGAATATCATGTGATACCGTATCAAATGCCTTACTAAAGTTTACGTATACCATGTCCACCGCTTCTCCTTTATCCACAAGATTAGTTATCCTATTAAAGAAAGCTATCAGATTGGTTTGACATGATTTGTTCTTTACAAATCCATGCTGGCTGTTCCTTATCATCTTATTATCTTCCAGGTGTTTGCAG